TGTGTACTCTTACTTTTTATACAGTAATAGCCCAAAGTTAAATCTTAAAAATGGGTTTACCTTATTGGCACATGCCCTGTGTTCACAGAATTGTGACGGGTTTCCTGGGGAAGTGCTCTGATAAGAGGAGGCTTTGATACCAGCCTGATTGGATTCATTATGTACAGAAAGATGAAAGAAAACTTGTCATGGTAAGTTTAATGTGTTTTACAATAACTTTTAAATGAAAAAAAAAAAAAAATCAGAACCAGAGAGTAGGTGCCTGCTAAAATTTGTAGTGACACTTTGTGCCTACGTGGCAAAGGACTCAGCCTGATATTTTATCCAGAGCTGATGCCATCTTTTAAATCAACAGAGGTGGTAACCTTGCTATGTTGAAACTGTTAAGTCAGTCCTTGGAAATCAAGAGGTTGGTTCTAAATCATAGAAACTGCTAAGTTCTTCTGTTACGCCTCCTTTCTGAGCTCGTTCAGTTAGGGTCTGCTTTCCAGTCTGCATCTTCATGGAGCCTCTTCATGAAAGTAGCATCTGATTATGGACTATGGGCTAACTCTAGGAAGGGACCAGCAACTAGACATAATGAAAAATAAGTAAGGGAGGAGCAGTAACAAGGAGCATTTTATGTCAACTGTTATGTAGAAAGTAGGTTTTACTGTTTCTCCGAATTTGATAACTAAATACAGAGCCACAGCATAAGAGCCTATTTACCACGTTCATTGCAGAAACTTTGCAAAGCAGTTAGGTTTTTAAATTGGCCAGTGCAAATGTCCAAGTCTCTTTGCCCAGGAATGTTGTCCGTTATTATATGTATATAATAATATATCATAGATAATTTGGATTTGTTTCTTAGCTGTGCCTGTTACAGAAGCAGCACTGTCAGAGGTGCTCATTTACCAACTCCAGAAGTGCTGCTTTTTTAACAGCAGTTCTGTTGGTCCCTCTGTAGACTAATTGTGCACTTCACTGTAGTTCAGTATGAGTTTGCACACTTAAGCTTCCCTTTTGTTGCCAGAATGGCGTGTTGGGGACACAGTGTCATTATAGACCAATGTTGCTGAACTAAGTTCTCCCCTGTCCTCAACCTGCTGAGGATCATTATTGCAGCTGCTGTTGGAAAAGTCAAGACACCTTACTTTAGTTGAGAAGGGGAGGCCCAATTCTCTTTTACACCACTCAGGGCCACGCTTGGTCATTCTGCTTCCAAGTGATGCCTTGCTCGGACTGTGGGAGTGCGGAGGTGTAGCAGTCTGCCAGCACTGTGAGCGAGAGCTCTGGGTTTCATCTGTTTTACACCTCGTGCAAATTGCAAAGTGGGTGCAAAATACAGTGCATGAAAGTAGTAAATTACTAAAGAAAAAGATTTACAGCTCTTCTAACCAGACTGATTTGTGGATGCCAAATGGAGACAGGTATGTCCTTAGCCTCCGAAATCCAAAATACGCATTAAAGTCTTATTTTGTATGTTGCGAAATCCTCTCAGTCTCTGGAAATTTAATTACTCGACTAGTTCTCAAGAAAGGCATTGAGAAACTGAGCTGTATAATGCTAATCTCCGCGGTGTAGTTAGCAGATTAGAAAACAGTTTTGTCCATTTCTTCCAACAACCACAGCCAATTTGGCCATTACAGTAATGTGTCACACTGGAAGCCGGAATCTCCAAATTTTCCATCAACTTGTGATTACTTGGGTCGTTTGTACGGCAAACACACACAGCTGAGAGCGTTTGACATGAAGATACTTACGAAGCTAATTACAACAGTAAAAGGCAGGGAGGGCTGCTTTTACTGTGTAAGACCCTCTGCTTTTTCCAGTAGAAGCTTGTCTGTGTCTCATTTTTAAAGCTCTGCTCAAGGCATTCTGTTTCCTTACTAAATTCTTGTACCACTGTGCAGCAAACTGCCAAGAGCCATTCCAGTTTGAACCCTGTTCTCAAATTAGTGTTTCATTTTGTGCACACACTTGTATTTTCAAGTGTTGCGGGTTTTTTATGCCTTACTGTCTAGCAGGAATAAAACTGCTGAAACTATTTCTGGATTCATCCTTGAATCTTGATTTATTATGTAACCATGGGATGTGATTAAATCTGCTTGACCTGTCCTTGTGCTACACAGATTTTTCTAGGCTGTGTCACCCCATCTTTATCTTTATGTTTATCTTTATGTGTGGCTTGCCCTGCTGAATGCAAATGGAAGCACAGAGGCTTCTGTTGGTTTTTTGAGGTGTTGCTTCATTCTTTACTTTTCTCTCACTACCTGTTCACTCCCTGATATAGTACATATTTTTGAAAAGTACCTGGAAAAAGCTGCCATGAGTCACCAGGAGAGTTTATTATGATAGTATAATCTCACCTTGACTTGATTGGATCCATCTCCCTCATGTGTTGAAATTCCTATTTGGTAATCAGACTTGAACTGAAATTGTACAATTATTCTTTTCATTTGATTGTCAAGGTTCTTTTGTTTGAATGATTTTTAGTGGATGACAGTGCCAAATAATGGGTCGAATTCTTCTGGCAATTTTACTTATGCAGATTACGAGTAATTTTCTATCTTAATCATGTTTCATCAGGGTAAATTAGAATGTATTTGAAAATATTCGGCCTTTTGAAACTAACAGAGAAATCAAGTTTCCTGCGACAATAAACATTGCTGTATCATAACAACGTATTACTCATTCTTAACATTACTCAAATTCCACTTCCCGCTGCCTTCCCTGACGTGACCAATCTGAATGCAAGTGTAACAGTTGAGGAAAAAGTGATTTTATTTGGGGAAAAGTTTGAGGGTCTTCACCTAGATCAAATTATCCAAACCAAGAAGACTGTAGGCATCATTGTGAAATGTCATGTTCACCACGGGGTTCTGAGGCTTCCTAAGCTAAACCCTCCTCTGCCTGAGGAGGGGCAACGGTGAAATTAGAGCAGGTGACAGCCCTTCTTATGCAGCTCTTTACTTCAGTTACTCTATAAAGAAGAGTGCTTAGAGGACTCTGGCATAGTCATGGATAATCTTGCCTCTGGGTGCACCCATGCTAATTCTAGTTGTGTTTCTGGTAGATGTGTGGATCCACTGTGGGGGAAAAAGTCTCCAAAAAGCAAGGGTTTCCTATTGGAAGTATACCTGGGCTTTGCCTGAGGCAACTAGGAGTGTGTTCTCTCTTGCAATAATGTTAATTAGTCAAATGCTTTTTAGAAGTTAATTTTTGGCCTTGTCTGATTGGGTCAGCAAAATTCACTCAGACCAATGTAAGGTGAAAATCATGACATCATGGCTGTTGTTGTAATTTTCCTTCGCTAATGAACTGTTGATTTCACCTGTTGTTCTGCTTTTACCAGGACCTAAGTATATTGATGATTAAGAAGGCAGAAGCTCATGCTTCTTGGGTGTTTTTCAAAAGAAATGAATATGTGAAGACATAATATGGCATCAGATCATTATTAGCCAGCTGGACTGAGTTGAATGTAATGAAACTAATTAACTAATCAATTCAAGGTACCGATCCTGCCTACAAGAGACAGGCCATTTTCTCCTGGCTGTGGAAGATGCAACAGTGTCCTTGGTGCTGCAGCCCAGGCTGGTGAGCAATAACATAATGCCTAATGGAAAGTTAAATCAAGCTTTAGTTGAAAAGCATTTAAAACTTACTAAAGCTTTTTGGTTTAGCTTGTGGTGCCTGAACCCTGTGAGATTCCTGCTATGAAAGGCTTATTTGACTACAGAAATCTACTCTGAGTATTTCTGACATATCTGTAATCTTAGAAACAAAGAATCTTTTGAGAAGACGGGACAGAGTGAGCTTTCAAGAGTAACGTTAATCTAATTAGTCTAATCTAACTGCACTTGCCACAATTTGATATCTGGTTATACGTGTTCTGATATATTGCTTAGCAGCACAGCTTTGTTACACCTGAGATAACATTTTCTGTGTGGGGTTAGGTGCAATTTCCTTTTTTTCATTGAGGCCTGTTTGCTGAGAGAGATTTCCATACAGTCTCTTTCACGTTTTTTCTGATGACTGAGATTACAGAAACGTGCTGGCTATTATGTTGAGTTCTTGTTTTATTAGAAGGGAATAGGCTTCAATTCTGACTTTCAGGTAGAAAGCACAGTGTGATTCGTCAAGGTATGGGTACTGGCTGACATGGAGTCACGGATGAGGAGGAGTCCAGGCAAGGTCATAGTCATAGGAGAATACTTCTCATGACAATATCAGGTGGTCATTGACATTTTCATAAAACACAGAAAACAGTGGTGGCTTTAAAGAAGGAACCCCCATCCTGCTCCTTTTGTTTTGCGACCTTGTGTGACCCACACATCCTCTGAAGTTTGACACCACCCTTTGTGTGCTGAGGAGGCTAGAAGTTACCAGATTGTCCTGTGAAGCACAATTGTTATTCTTAATTGTGTCACTAATTTCAATTACTGTTGTATGCATCATGGTAACTGATCAAAAAGGAGCAGCACTTCTCATTAAGAGTTCCTGCATAGATTAGATGAAAGAAATGGCTGAAGACTTGGTCTGTTCAGTGGCTGGCACGTAGGCCACCATGACATAAGTGTTTCTTTCCAGGAATTGTCTGCAGACTATCAGGATACTAGGGTTTATATTTCAGAAGACAAAATGCAATTTGTGTGAATGAATCAGTTATTCCTGATGCCATTGAATTCTGGACAATATCCTGTTAAATACTGAAAAAATGGAACCAACAAGAGTGGGAACTCCTCTAGAGTTTAAACCAGTAAACAATAGCCATTTGCAGAGTCATTAATTTTACAAAAGCTGATTTACTGAGTGCTTTTAACATATCGGGGTCAGGTTATCTGTGCCAACCCAAAATTCAGATATGAGGCTTACAATGTAGATACGGACTTGTTCTGAGTCATGAAGAAAAGTTCTGTCAGGTGTTTCCCACACCTCCAGCAAGATATAAAAGTTGAAGGTCTCTGGGATTTTCTCACATTCCTACTTTCTGCAGCCTCTTGTTCTTATCTGAAAGAAAAATGAACGGATTTGTGAGTATATCCATTTTTATTGAACTTCTATTAGCAAAAGTTCCTTATTTTTAAAAACAAAAGGATAGAGAAGAAGATGCTCATGTAAGTGGTCCAAGTTTTTTTTATTACAGGAACTAATATGATCTGTGTATTGTTTCTTTGGGTTGTTCAGTGGGAAACTTGTATTTCTTGGTGTGCAGTAACCCTTGGAGTCAGTGGAAGCATCATTTGAGCAAAGAACGCAGAACTCGATTACGACTCAGAAGGGGGATTTAGTTATGATTTAGTAATTACAGTTGTAGAGACAAATCAAGAAGTAACATGGTATCAAAGGACTGTGACTTTTGAAAAATATAGAAAATACAATGGTTGTTATTCTGCTTTCTCAGTTACAGGCAAAAGAGCCTAATAGTGAGAATTTCACAATGAAGAGTTGTAATTATTTTCAACTAATACATGTGTTGAGTGGGTTGTTTTTCAAACTGATGCTGTAGCTGCTTCCCCCAGTTGATGAACCGGTTATTTTTATGGCACTGCCAGGCGTTTCTGTTGAGTGAGAATGCATATTCCTTTTACAGGCTGCAGTCCTCGTTTTGTTGGGAGTATTTTGGACTCAGGCTTCTGCATTGGACGTAAGTAGACTGATAAGCCTTCTAGTGCAAGTACTCATTTAAAATGCATTAGATTCCTGGGCACAGGGTGAATAAAATAGGAAGAAAAACATAGAAGAAACTAACAAGATACTTATTGCCAAGCATAGTTAAAAATAGCCTTTGCCAAAGATGATAGTCATATAAGCCAAAGAGGCAGCTGTGGGGGCATAGGTCCACTTAGCTTAAGCTAAATTTTGGAAGCTGTTGCAGCATCCTACTGGTCCCTGCTGCCACACATAATGACTGGGATGCCCCATGCTGTCTTTCCTTAGCCTGCAGTGAGGGCCTGTCCCCTGCTTTGTCAGCCTGACTCGCTCTTGCGTAATTAATCTCTACCTCAAGGGCCTCCTGATACTGCTTGAGGGTTGTTGAGGGATTTAGTATTTACATAAAGCAATCATACTTGTTTATTTGAGAGAACTCATTTGTTCATATTGCACTTTTTAAAGGTGCAAGCCAAATGATGAACAGTGATTTTGTGATTTTGTGTTTTTTTTTTCCAAAGTCCTATGTCCTGAAAGATCCTAACAAGGGCTATGTCACTGGAACCATGACTATCGACAATGGGAGAAATATTGTTGACGTCCACATCCGTTCTGGCGCGCAGTCCTCTGACAGCATTTTTGACTACTCACGTGTAAGTAAACCTAAGAATCTGCCTAGACTTAATCTTTGAGGAAGTTTTTAAACTCAGCTATTATTTTAGTGTATTGTCACCATTAGTTGTCCTGAAACACTGCTTCATTGAAGACTCCTGTCACCTTTCCTCCTCTTAGGCCATCTCTTTGTTTCACCTGTACGACGGTGCAGTTTAAAAGGCTGTCATGGTGGGCCAGAAAAACAAGAGGAATGTAACTGACCTTCATGCAAGAGGGTTGAGACTGGGATACCATCACTCATGTACAGCAAGTGCAGCAGAAGTCTGTGGAAAAGATACTTCCAGTTTTAGGGACAGACATTAGTGAGAGCGGGCTGCTTCTGTTCCCCAAAGGTGACAGTGTAAATGTAGAGTCATTGCACAATAGTGGGCTGTGGAGCCACTTTGTGTTTCTTCTAGGTTGTCTTAAAGAGTTAGGAGAAAAAACTAATATTAGTGGTAGCCATTTTTAATTAATTAAATTAACCATAATTTTTTTAATCACAGGGGTATATTGCAACAAGGTTATTTTCACGACATGCCTGCTTTATCCTGGAAATAAATAAGAAAGACATCCCAGAGCTGCAAGAAATTGGACGCACGGCTTTTGAGAAAAAGGTGACTTTGTAGTGAAACCCGTGCTGTGTACAAGAAAGGCTACTGCATGAGTTGGGTGGTGTGATGGGAGCCCTCCACTCTGAGAATTCTCAGACAGAATTTAGAAATCAACTGGCTTTGACCAGACTTTGACTTTTCTGTTCAAGCAAAGGTTTCATGAAGGTGACTGGAAGTATTGCCTGGAGATGAACTTGAGTTCTGGCCAGGTTTATGACAGCCTAACACTTACTATGATAGTCACACAACTCAATTTTGCCATGTTGACAGAACTAGTATCTAGTAGACTTTGTTTCTGAATAGATTGAAAATATTTATTTTCTTTAAAAGCATGTAGCTTCTTTAGCTAATGCTTTGTGTGAGGCAAAAGAAGGTGACTTTAGATTCTGGAATTTTCTCAAAGGATGTCTTAGTAGAGTGAAGCCAAAGCTACATTACTGATGATGTCTGACATTTTCTTTCAAGGTTCTGAGGGAAGTGTACAACCGACGCAATGTGTGGGTACAGTTTCAATCTGCCCACTCCTGGTTTGGGGATTTCAAAGACTGGCTTCGCTATGGTAGACCCATTGAACGCCTCTGCTCAGGCCTGCCGCTCTACAGGCTGGAAAGGGCTGAACGTAAGTTGCAAGATCAGAATATTGTTTCTGTTACAGTGCATAAGCACCTCTCTGTCCTTTAAACCCAAGATCCTGTGGTGCCTTTGAGGCAGGAACATATTGCCCCATTTTAGAGAGAAGGAGTAAACTACCTAGCAGGATTGAAAGGGTAAGGCTTTGGGGTGCTTTGGAAAATCTGGTAGAGTGCTGTTTTTCATCATTAGGCATCGAAACACCTGGAAGAGCTGTTCCAAAGTGGTTTGCCTGGTGTCAGAGGAAGCCAGAGTGTAGCAGCAGTACCCAGCTTATGCCCTAATGATACAATGGTCCCACAAGGCACCTACAGTATGCCAGCGTGCTACCTGCTGTATGTGGGTGTTGGGAAAGGAGGAGCACAAAGGTGATTTAAAGCCATACAGACGTTTCCTCTCTTTGAGTTAACATCCTAAAAGCTTTACACAGTATGTATCCATTGAGACCAACAGGAGCCTTCAATAGGACCATAATTGGGAATTTGAAATTTGTGTATTTAATGGACTTTTCCTTGCTGGATACAAGCATCTTGTCACTGATAATATCTTCATTTTCTCATTTCTTTTAGCTCTAAGGGATCCTCATGGCTGTGCCGCTGCAGGAATTCCAGGCGTTTTGCGCCTTAACATCTGTGAAAAAGCCAAGTAGGCTGGATCTTGACAGTTCTACTGCATGGAAATGGCTTGTTTCTTTGCATATTTTTGTGATGGTAAGCCATGTTCTCCAACTGGAACAAAACTCGGTGTTGGACTCAGCTTGCCTATCCAAAGCTTTGAGTGTAACAAACTTATGATACACAAATAAAGATAATGCAGTAATTAAAATGCTTTGTCTTTTTCTTCATCCAAAAGCAGAATGAAAATAAAGTGGGCATTGCTAGTATTCCTACAGAGAGATGTATTTCCCTTTGGTGCATTCCTGTGCTCAGGCTGCACACGACCTAGGTATTGTGCCAATGAAGAAACAGTAGCAGAATAGGTTTTTCCAGTGGAGAACTTCCCTTTGGCATCATCACCCAGCCTCTTCAGGTGCTGACTCACCCTATGTATGATTGCTGGAGGGAGGGAGAGAACGGATTAACAGATAGATAACGGGAGGGAACAGATTTATGTCACCAACACTTGCAAAGAAGCTCGAATTCTGCAAGGCCAGTGAAAATTTACAGCAATTTGAACAGGTGTGATGGGTCAGAGAGCTTTTTGTTCTGGCCATTTTTCAAACCCGGATAGAGGAGACCATCCCTGTCTTAAAAAGTTCCTAACCCAGAATAAAGTCATGCTTTCACACAACGTCAGTGTAAAAAAAGCTGTGACCACTTGCTGAGTGCCCCACATACGCTGGAGAGTAGTTTGTGTCAGGAGCTGACTGAAATACAAGATGAGGCAGCATTGGTGCTGCTCGGCCTGCTCTTCTGGTAGATCTCGGTGAACGGTCGAATTCGCACATCCTTTCCATCAGTGCTTGGAAGAAGTGTGTATTTGGGGGCTGAAGACTAAATGTTTACCGTTTATTGAAGCCTTGAAGGACTGCCAGAGGGCAAGGCCTTCCTTTGGACTCCAGGATACTGGTCCCAGATCTGTAATTTGTTATTTTCAAATCAGATTCCTGGTCAAACCATCTGCTATTTATTAAAAAATCATTTTATCATATGGTTAAACTATTCTTTTAGGTTAATTGTATTCACAACAGGCTGCAGGTTCTTGGTGATCCAAAGAATGTTTCTGGAGAGTCAAACTCTGGTAATTAAATCCAGGAATGCTTGTGTGTGTCTGCAAGATACAGGGTAGCCTGATGAGCTGTATTTTGAAGTGGAGCTCACTGGTGGGAAGAGAAACTAGGAGTTGTAGTTGTGATGTTCTTGGCTGATGCACGGGGAATGTGAAACACCTCAAAGGACTCTTTGAGAGCACTGCTTGGCAAGAGTAGTCATGTGGGTGGTGACTTTCAAAGCTTTTGTTATTGCAGTGTCCAGAAAGACTGTTTCAAGACCTTCAAAACAGTTGGAAGCCCTAATCTAGCTTCCAAGTGACAACTGTCATGTGTCAACCCTTTCTTTGTGTATTCTTCTCTTAGAGGACATGAAAGTCAGGACAAGCTCCACCCCTGCCCAGAGTCAGCCAAGCCCTTCAAAATCTAGAAGATGACCGTCTTATGAGGTGTGGCTGAGGGAACTGGGGTTGTTCAGCCCGGAGAAAAGGAGGCTCAGGGGAGACCTTATCGCTCTCTACAACTACCTGAAAGGAGGTTGTAGCAAGGTGGGTGTTGGGCTCTTCTCCCAAGGAACAAGCAATAGGACAAGAGGAAACGGCTTCAAATTGCACCAGGGGAGGTTTAGCTTGGATTTGGGAATAATTTGTTCACGGAAGGGGTTGTCAAGCACTGCAGGCTGCCTGGGGAAGTGGTTGAGTCACCACCCTGGAGGTATTTAAAAGACATGTAGATGTGGTGCTTAGGGACATGGTGTGGTGGTGGACTTGGCAGTGCTGGGTTAACAGTTGGAGCTGATGATATTAAAGGTCTTTTCCAAACTAAATGATTCTGTGATTCTTGTTATCTCAGACTTCATACATCTTTGGATTGTTTCTTTAGGGATGCTGACCTACCATCAACTATCCAGTGAAAGTTTGAAGACCAGAGATGAAAGTAGATCCCAAAGGAAAAAACTGGTAGAGCTTCCAGAGAGGCAGACTAGATGTACGAACAAAGCTGAGTCTTATTTTTCTAAGATTTATTATTTAATTCAAAGTTATTTAAAATGATTAGTCAATAGGATTTAGTTTTCTGTCTAACTGCAGTACAGATGAATCTGAACTTTTACTCTGTGTGTAGTGTAATAATGGTCCTTTGACACTCTCACCCAGTTGCTACCAGTTTAATCAGAATTAGTTACTTTAAAGCAACCCTCTGCATACTACATTCATTTATTAATGGAACAGTGTTCTGAGACATGAGTGAGATCTGAATAAAGCAACAGGAGTGGTTATGCACGGTTATAAAAGATGCAGGGCTGAACTCCTCCGTTGACAAAGAGCACTACTCATGTGAAGAGACTCTCTCCCCCTCTTGGATAGTTGCTTACAGATCACAGGGACTATTCCAAACGGACAAAATAAGGGATGCAGTGCTGCCTTGGTACTGTCAATGGGAAACTGAAGCACAACCTTCTCTGAAGGGTTCACTGCTGTCATGGAAATTGTCCGTGACCGAGGCAGGAACTCAATCCAGCTCTTCAGTCTTCAATTATGGCTTAAAAAACACATATTTTTCTGTGGTTTGACTGAATTTCATTTAAATTATAAGCATAGTTGAGATCTTACATTTTTTGTTTAAAAAGAATTGCATTTACATCTAAAAGCTTACCAATAAGCTTTTAGTGTTTACTGCCTACTAATTTTGAAGCTCAGTAGATTTGCACTTGATACTAGAGCAAATAGTTGTACAAAGCACTCTGAAACAAGCCTCGATACCTTATTATCTGCCATTCAATTTTGTTTGAGCTAGGGAGGTAGTGTTTCTGCCCTTCATGTACTCAAACATGGTAGAAGATTGTTTCTATCTTTTCTTTTAGTTCACAATCTTGTTACACCAGTCAGACCTGTTAACAATATATTTATGTTTTGACTACTGTGTTTATTGTTTGATAAATGCTTTGACTACCCATCTACTCCTGCAGCACCACCAATGCCAGAGTGCACAGCTTAGAGGAAACTCTTCTGGGTGGAGCATCCTGGAGGCAAGTCTGTTGTGACCTTGCTGTACCTTTGGGGTGCAACTCGCAACAAAGAGAAAAGGAGGCAGAGGAAGAATCACATACCACATGACCCATATGCCCACCTTCTCCTTGCCCGGGTTTTTTAGGGAATGGTCTGTTTTCACATGAGCAGGACATACTACAGGACAAGCAAAAAAAACAGGAATGTACACCCAGCTCTGAATAAAAGCAGAGAAAAGGACCTATGCATTTGAAAGAATTTTTATCTTTTATCTGTTTGACAGATAAGGCCATGCAGATGGCCAGTGATATTTCCTGCTATTTCACTCTTTGCTGACTATGCCATAGTTTACCGTACAATTAATCTATTTTTCTTGTCTTGCAGGGTGATGGGTGTTATTACTGGACTACAGGGAAAGACCAAAGAAGCAAAAAGCAGCAACAACAGACAAGATGTCCCTGAAGATGTGGTCCATCTGTTGCCTTAAGTAACTGTAGTCTGAAAATGTTTTTAATCTTTAAATCCAGAGCCTGTCAGCAAAGGGTCTGGACCGAATGCTCGTGGTGTGAAGGAAATACGTAGCTTTCCTTTTATCTATGGCTTAACTTAGGCGTGTTCCATATAACATGAAGCATCTGCTGTCATAGAGCTTGTTAGATATCAGTAGCTTCATGGGTTACCTATTGATAAGGATCTTTTTACTTTGTGATCCATGAGATTTCCCACTGTAATGATGGAAAATTCCCACTGATTTCCACAGAAGGGAAACACAGAGGATTGCAGCCACTGCCTGAGTGGAGACCAGCCAGCAACCATTCTCAGAATCAATGGAAGAGAGAGTTATGTTCACAGTCAACAAAGCAGTCAACAAAACAATTATTATCCTAATAACGGCTGCCTATGGTTACTGTGTGGAGTGGATTGTCCATGAGGCTTATTAGTGTTAAGCATAAGATTAACACCTTGAAAATAGCACAGGCAACTGGCATATCTGCATCAGGAGAGGGGCAGGGCTGTGGTTATCCTATCGGGATTAGAACCCAGATCTGTCACAAAAATGAAGAGAGGAGCCAGTGCACAAGCTTAGATCCTAAAGACATGTTGGCAGAAAGAGTCTAGAGAGGATGAGAGTATCAGGATGTGACTCTTATTATCTTGAAAGTTATGTGATCTTTACAAGAGCTCCTCTCCATCAAAGTAATATGCATGTTTTGGAAGTTTAGCTTCTCAGCTAGGCTTTCTCTATAAAAAGGTGGGGAATTTGTTTTATGTGGAAGGGAGAACATAGGGGAGTGTGTCTGGGTGTGACTGAGCGAGTATCTGTATGTGTATGTACTGGCAGCTTTTTAAAGTTAAAACAATATTTATCCTAGGCTGGAATATCAGAATGATGCTGATTATTTCCTCCCAGCTTTTTTAAAAAGCCTGAAAGGTGTCCAAAGGCATGCCAGGAATCCAAGCAATGGTATCATTGGGTGCACACTGACAGGCAGCTAAAATATGTCAAGCATCTGAGGAGGGCAGAATTAGCACACGTTCCAGTCACATCTCCAACTCTGCTGCAATTAACCTTTCTTGATCCTTGTACATATCAGTGGGCAGGAAGCCTCTATGGTCCCTCACTGCCAAGGACACCGATTTATCTCGTCACCTGTGCTGCACATGAATCCAAGATCGCTGAACCCATTCCACTGAGAACCTCCCCCCACCACCTTGCCAGACTTCCCAGCGCACAAGACTGTTTACCAAGGTCAAGGTATGACGCCTTTGCCAGTTGTGATCGTTTTAAAATCAGAGGTTAACCCGGAAAGTCTTACCCTGGTGAGCAATACCATTTAAATGAAAGAAATTGCTTAAATTAGAAGGAGTGGCAGACTTTCATATATCTTGTCTGATATGTGAAAACACGTTTGAGTCATGAAAAGGGACAGCTAT